AGTATCATGTACGTAGATGAAAGTATGTAAGTGGACGATAATATCTAGATAGCATACTATCATCTACGTAGATGAAAGTATCTTCTACGTAGATGATAGTATTTTCCCTACAGATGGTAGTATCTTCTACGTAGATGATAGCATGCCACAAACATCACATCACTTCCAATAAATGTCTTTCACTATGTTGACACCACCCTTTAATGACGATTGTACGATAAAGCCTATACCAACCATCCCTAACTTAACAGTTTTGTACGTTTGTCATCATACACAGTATTTCTCGAATTGTACATGTGAAACGCAAGCTCAACTGACAAAGATCATTTCTAGTCAATTGGCGTCTTGGACACTACGGTAGTAAGGTTATTACAATTTACGTAAGAATTTATTACATTTTACCGCAAGTAGAGATTATTACAATTTACGTCAATTTTTATTACAATTTGCGTATTACAATTTACGTCAAATATTATAACAATTTACGTTGTTATTACAATTTACGTCAAAATTATTACAATTTGCTGCAAGTATTACAATTTACCTTTTTATTACAATTTACGTCGTAACACAGCTCTTTGGTAGCCAAGCCAGCAGGAGTTATCACCCCCTACCGAAAGTGCCGCCTTCTTGGATGCGCGAAGAGGGGCATGCTGGATAATGCGTGCGCATGCCTTCAAGATGGCGTCACGCCGGGAGGCGTGCGCCTCCATGATGGCGGTACATGCGCTTCCGGGAGGCGCACGTAAAATCCTCCACTTCACTAAAAGAAGCGGGTAAAATACTCCATTGAAGCCAGTAAGGCGGAGGAGGAGTTTTTTGTGTGTGTTGTTGGTTGGCAAAGCAATGATGAAAGTGCTCTTTCGGGAGAGTTGGGTGGCCCTGAAAAGGGCCGTTGGCCAAAACAAAAAACTGGAACGGGAACGGGAACGGAAACGGAAGTGGAACGGAGGTGCCTCGTACCATGCAGACAACACGGCAATCTACCCCGGCTAGATTCCCCCCGGCTACAGGAAAGGCTCGCAGTAAGAGTGCCCAAGCTCAATCCCCTGGAGAAGGAAAGGCAATGGAGAACGGAGATACCCATTCCACAAAGACAGCGCCATCACCAGTATTGCCATCGCCTCCATGGCAATGCAGAATGTGCAAAGGCTGCCTGCCAGTCTACGCTTATGGTACAGAGGCACGTGATAGGACGTTTCAGTGCGTCTATTGTCATACCGTACTGAAGGACACTTACGTGAGGCGTTTAAGCCACACCAATAAGTGTCCTATCAGAAGAAAGATGACGGCCCATCCGTATACACGAGTGGCATCACGTGTTCATGGAGACACTAGCAAAACACCACGTATGTCTATCGATCTAAACATAGATAAACGTCTGTTTGAAGACACGAGTGATACCACGTTGCATGGAGACACGAAGTACACCAGGCATTTCTACATCACGTCCATGTCTGTCCATGTAGGTCCGCCTTTAGAATTCAGATGTCCGTTCCACAACATGATCGTTGTGGCGGCGGTGGCGGTGGCGGTGGTGGTGGTAGGGGTGGCGGTGGTGGACATGTCTACCCCCAAAAACAGGATCGAAAAAGGCACCAATCGAAGCTTGTTTGTTTCGTCCAATCAGAGGCCACTCGAATGGGTTCAGTTCACTTGTGAAAAAAGTCATCATCACACCGAGAATTGCAGAGATGAAGAGCTGTACAGATGCTTGTTAGGGTGTGGATTCTTGTGGACCAAGGAGTGAGGGTACGGATGCTTGTGGGTCCAGATCTGAGTGTACGGATGCTTGTGATGGTAGGCCGCAGCCGCCCAGTAAGCCACCGTCGCCCCATTATCTACACTTTGAAAGAAGACTGGCCTCGTTTGAGGGTTGGTCAATGCAGATGAACCAGACCGCTGAAGAGATGGCCCATGCGAGCTTCGTGTACACGCAAAGTGCCGATTGTGTGTACTGCTTTCATTGCTGCGTGCGGCTGAGAAGATGGGCGCCTCACGACGATCCTTGGCTGGTACACCTCAAGTGGTCCTCTCACTGCGCCTACCTCAAGCTGACCGGGCTGGTGAGACACAAGAAGAAGAACGTGACAGCTACTACTTACTGGCACTATCTGTGCGAGGAGAATGCGAATCAGAGCAACGCGAATGAGGAAGCTTTCCTGCTTTCCTAGAATGAACTTTCCGTTCGAATTCCGTTCCCGTTCCCGTTTAAGTTTTTCGTTTTGGCCAACGGCTCTTTTCAGGGCCACCCAACTCTCCCGAAAGAACGCTTTCAACACAAAAAAACAAACCCTCCTCCTCACTCTGCTTGCCAGCCCTGATGCCCATGATAGCCTTACTGGCTTCAATGGAGGATGTTACGTGCGTTCGACTCCTCGCGAGCCTCCCGGAAACGGACGTGCCGCCATCTTGAAGGCATGCGGCTATCAAAGAGCTGTCCTTAACTACTTTCGTTTATTTCTCCTGCACCCATAAGCTTAGAATCACTAATTTCAAGCCGTAATCTTTTATCAGCTACAAGCTTTGTTGACTGCGTCACACAATGAACGATTATCAACGATGCATAATATTGGCACACTGGCACCACGATGCGCACCACTTGATGCACGATCAGTTTGATCAGAAAGTTCAGAAAATAAAGTTGCCAGGAAAAGTGCATTGTCTATTGCGTCTTTCAAGGCCAATGTCTCGCTTGCTAATGTGATTCGAACTACACGTCGAATTCTTCTTGATTGCGAGCATTATTGTGAAGAATTCTCCCATTAATACCACAATGCGACCACTGTCTGTGTTCCACCAACAGGCAAGTTCCCCAAGGAAGCATCACTGAAAACTACAAGTTTCAGATAATTATTTTCACTCTTAATTTTTCTAATCACTTTGTTTGCTTTAAGGATATGCAGAACAGTTGTAGCTTTCATTGAAGATGTCAAACCACATGTATCTAACACTATATCTGGCCTTCTTTGACTGGCTACCCATAAAATCTGACCAACTTTTGACCTGTACTTCTCAAACTTTCTGCAGTCAAAGGAGAATCCCCTTGAGACATTCTTGATTTACCAAGTTTGATTAATTGTAAGTTCTCGATGTACGCGACGCACACACGCACACACAGTCGCACACACATGTATACTATCAATCGTGATTATGACCTACGAATGCTCGAGTATTTGTTATCCTACCCGTTTCAACCCTATCCACAGCCCCTTGTGATGTTTGGGAGCTTTGCTTAAATGTTGCAAGCTGTCATGGAGAGGTAGCCACGTGGTGAGCTTTCCTTCTAACTAACACACTCACTCACTTGACATGGCCTTTACCTGGACACAAGAAATAAATTCATCACCAAACATTCAAAATGCCTGTCTCACCAAAACGTAATGATACGGTGATCCATGGACCTGAGGCATCTACTCTTTCCTCAGCTGACAAGTTCGTCTTGTCTTAGCTCGAATCCTAGATTCATTCTCGATCACTGGTTTGTCAGCACCATACACCCCTGATCGAAATCTAGTACATTGTTAAAGAAGCGTCACTCCCAAGTATTACTGCTATGCGCGGCCACTGGATCTCATATGGTTGCTCTCTGGCAATGATAGTGTGGCAGGGCGTGCAGTCGTCCAACAGATGACATCCTTACCTTGTCAGCATGCTGAAGGGGTTAACCTCTTTGGTCATGTGGACAAGGCGTCCGACCTCGGTCAGAAGGTCCGTGGCTCGAATCCCATCACGGGACTCGGAAATTTTATGGCCGCAACATTGGCGCCCAACGTGGGCTTGAGCACGCTCATATTAAATTTGAGCAAAATAAGCCTCAGTACCCTACTATGTGGCCCAGGACGTGCCTTCTGTTGACGGGGGAGTATGTAGCAGGGCGTGCAGTCGTCCCACAGATGACATCCTTACCTTGTCGGCTTGCTGACGGGGTTAACCTCTTTGGTCATGTGGACAAGGCGTCCGACCTCGGTCAGAAGGTCCGTGGTTCGAACCCCATCACGGGATGGCCGCAACAATAGCATCAACCAATATAATCCTTAGGCGTATATATGGCCAGGTGCTGTCGTTACCATGTTACTAGAATACCAGCACCTGCAGTACGTTGACAACCATGATGAACTGAGGAACTGACAAAAGAGACAATGAACGCAACTCACTCATCCATACACGACAGAGCTGATGGCGATGATCTGAAGGAATGGACTCCATTGCCTGTGACCAACTCCACCCCAGGCTGTCATTGAAGCATTCTCAGCTTCCGGGCGTGTCAAACTTAGAGGGACATTTATTTCTTTGCCTTGGAGTTTTGCCACACACTGGTGCAGTACCAGCTCGTTTCAGAATGTTGATGTCATGCTTAACACTAGACTCCTTTTCTGAATTGCGCAGCTATTGCTGACGTCAGTGTGCACACCGGTTACACTCGAGTCCGTACAATATCTAGCAAATGTGTTACCCCTAACAGGAAGTGGGGAATCCTTGGTGCAAGTTGGCCTAAGATAAGAGTTTTTCTGAGTGTCGTCTGGTTACTTTTCATTTGCACCGAACCCAATATTATTGTTTCACTTGACCCGCCGTTGAGCTTCCACCTCAGGTATAACACATTACACACTACATTTATATCTAACTTATCATATTTCCTTACCCTTACCGATGACTAAAATGAGCATTGACTGAAATGCCTACATTAGTTGTGGAAAATATCAGAATGGATGTACCACTATATATGCACAAGATGAACCACAAAGCCATTGGAATGTTTTAAATCTAGGCAAGGAAGGTAATTTATGAACTTACAGAACACAAGAAAAGTATAACTTCATTTTTAAGTAAAAGCTTAAAAACAAAACAAAATATGTATTACATTCGATTTGAGAATTTATTTCTTATCCACTATTCACACCACACAAGCATGACGCTTACATTTCGTACTTTGAAATGCGACTTGGCTTGACCCCTGTCTGGGGTATTTTCCTTGAACGAAACAGGGTACACTCCCATCATGCGTCACTATGATGTTTGCTTTGAATTTGTATTTCACAGATGTAAGAGAGAGAGTCGCTGCATCGGACATCTCCGGCGCCGTTCTTTGTTATTACCACACACTTCTCTGTGCCGTAGGATGGGTCTTTTGGACCCCACGGGGCCCAGGTAGACTGACCCCTGACCCACCTGTATTTCTTTCTTCTGTCACGTCTCATCCCGATCCACATGTAACCTGTAGTATGATAATGTTCAACAAATATCACTCTCGCATTCAAAAACTTATAAAACTGCACATCTATTAATATTATCAAAAATGCTATTGTTCATGTAAGATGGTCGTTAAGCGTGCAGTGCCGGATCGAATCCTGGATTTGTCGCCTGTGAGCCCTGGTCATGGATTTCACTTAATATCGCCGTCAAACATCTCTTGTTTTCGTTGGGGAATAAATCTTTTATGGATTCATTTCGGTTTACAAAATTTCACGATTCGTTTTAATTTATGTGAAATGGTTCACCTGTAGTCAAGGACTTTTTGATGGCTCTGAACTTGTGTACGGTGTTAATGACAGCCAGGTGACTGTGTTGGAGCGAGCACAACTGTCTGGCTTTACTCCAGGTGACACTGCTTTTGACAAACTGTACACACAGCTCTGTCTGCAGTTGCATGAAGCCTTCGTATTTCGGACATCCTAGTCACCAAAGGGAGAGAATCATGTAAGTCAGGAACGATACCCCAGAGCACACGGAACACGAACCAAAATATTTTCCCGATCGTCTCGCGAGAATGGACCTGAGCCTTCTCATACAATATTGTGTGAAAAGAACTACATGGTAAAATCTGCCTTTGAAATATCACAATGGCTATGCCGATAATGTTGAGTAAATGCTGTCATCAGTATGATAGCTGTAGCCCGATATAAATACCGTATTTCCTCGATTCAACGGCGGCCCTCAAATAACCGCCAGGCCAATAATAAACGTTAGGTAGATTTTATGCACGGAATTCTTCTCATGATAATATTTGCTATTAAACGCCGGTGGTAAACGGCAGCTTGTTTAATCGATGAAATCCGTTAATCGAGTCTGGGCAACTCGAACCGGTGGTTGAGAGCATGGGCAACTACAACACCCGATGATCTCCATTAGACGGCTCTTACAAGCATGTGGTACTGGGGACATAGCTGGCGGCTGAATTTAAATAAGCATCACAGCGCAATTATAAATCAGCGCTAGAAACGTCAGCCACCTGTTCTCTGCCTACGTAATGCATTGCGAGTGTCGTCATCAGTTTAAAACACGAAGTGGAAGAAAATGTTATTCTCTTGTAAATGAGTGAACGAGTGATTTTTTAACGCAGTAGGGAGCATTATTCCACATATATCATGGCGGCCCGATACACTTTTTTCAAAATCTCTATATCCCTTTCTTAAATACTCGAAAACTAGAAGAGATTGTGAGGATGTGGTCACTATAGTTACCGTGAATGGATTTCTTGTAACCTTACCTCGAGACCTGCACAGACGGTACTGTTGGAATCCTCTTTGGTGGGAAACCTCGTCCTCGTAACCAGTCAGATACCCCCAACACTCGGCCGTCTGGGGTGAGAACGTGAAACTTCCACACCCCTCGTGTTGGTAGCACCGTATGAAACAGTGCCGGAAGTCTGACGTCATATCCAGGAGCAGGTAGTGTGGGTCACTAATCTGACTGTGACACGTCACAACAGTCACAAATATGACGATGGAACAGAACCACGACATTTGTCTGTTCCACGCTGAGGTTGACAATGCAACCATTCTGAAGTCACCCCACGGGAAAAATGTGGACAAGAAAGCTCTCTCGGCTTAAAATAATTGTATTAAAAAAATAAACGGAATCCAATAAATTTTTAATCCACAGAACATTTTCTCCTTTCATAAAAGATTAGAACATTCTTGTATCACATTATCTTAAAGACATATGACATCTCACTGTCAAGAATATGTCATCCATTATATTCCAAAATTTGCCATGCATGTTTTTACTGCATGGGAAGAAGATTCCATTGATCCAAATATGCCCTGAAGCGCAGTATCAAACAGCTAAACGGCTGTATGTGCTGTTGCCAAGCCAATAACGAGAGAGAGAGAGAGAGTTGTTGTTGTTGTAAGTGGTGCAAGGTGTCATGGAGAGGTAGCCACGTGACTAGCTTACGTTCGGATACAGCTTTGGCACTTACTCACTTGACCTGGCCTTGACCTAGACACAAGAAATACATCCCTCGCCAAACATTCAAAATGTCTGTCTCACCAAAACGAATGGGGTAAGATTAAGTTTTAGAAACAGCGTTCACCCGTTTCATGTCTGTCCAGCGACTGTCACTACCTTAAGGCTTCGACACAAGAATGCAAGTTGAACTCTAGTCACTATGACTGGGTTCAATATTAATCTGTTTGATCAGTTACATCCATTAACAAGTGAGCAAAACTCTTGAATTAACTCTCACACATGGGCCTTTTGCTCCACTTAAAATCTAAGTTAGCAAAGCTTCAGAATTGTTTGGCTTATAGCGAGCAAAGTCAGCACTGTCATCAAACTTTACAAAGTAAAAATTCGCGTCATAAAGTCTTCATTGTGTAAACATTGTCATGTAATTGGAGATTAAACCCACTCACACAAGACCTTTTGAAAGCGCAAAATCAGCATCCGACGTTTGAAGAGCGTACGTATTATCGACCAGTGGATGTCAGAGGGTAAATGAGGAGCATTACAGAGCTAGGATTACCTCCAAGTTCCTCCTTCTCACGTCTGATCTAGTGTTTAGTGAGTGCCAATTTTGGAATAATATTTCTCATCTGTCGGCCACATGTCCACTGCCTTGTAGGATTGAAACGGATACCCAGTTACGATTCGCGTTGAGCCACTTCTCGAGTAGTAAATTAGTACTCAAGTATTCAGGGAGAGTTACCGCCCTTGGTGTATGTGAGTTACGTCCCTTTTAGGAGACAACGTGACGCCGTGAGGCATGTCAGTTTAAAACAGATTCAAAGTGTGGTAATATTTTAAAGTCTCTGCAACAAATTAAAAACTGTATGTTCACCTTGTGGCATACAGTTGTCATATTGAGGGGGCATAGCTCAGACGATGAGAAACGATCCCGAGATGAAGCTTTCAAAGCTAATTGACAGCTATGCATCCACAAGTGAAATACAATCGACTTATGAAGTCACAGGATTGGCGATAATAATGGCACATGTTTCATTTGTGAAATTTGTAAAAAGTATGTTTAATCTGCTAAATAATTATCAATCTAATAATGCAAAAATTATCCTAAATATGGCATGGAAAAGCCAGAGTATTGGGTACTAAACAAAAAAGTTAGGGATTATGAATATTTTGTTGAATATTTTTTGTAGTGAAAACTAAGCACATTCCATAAAAAATCTCTAAAGATATTTATGATCCCTAACCAGAAAGTTGGCACCGTGGTGGTATTGAATTGATGAAGGAGAGGGATTTAAAGAGTTCTGTGATGCGCTCAATGCACAGTACAATGTCCCCAGCCATACGAATATACACAAGTACTTATGACAAAAGGAGGAAAAATTAAAGAAACTGATGTCTGACATATTACCCTGGACCAGATCACTTTATATGGATATTTCACCGACATGCCACTTTCTGAACAGACATGGACATTTTGCAACCTGGCCCTTGTAATGATCCCTTTTCAAATTTCTATAGTTATTACTTGAAAACTTCAGGAAAGAAGTAGATTTTTCTTCTTATATATTTGCTAAATTTTGAGCTGAATTTTTTGTCAAGATTAAGTCCCAGATTGCAGGAAATTTAGAAAGTTCAAATATTTACGGTATGTGTGTTTGTGTCTCTTGTGTATGTGTGTGTGTGTGTGTGTGTGGGGGGGGGGGGGGGGGGGGGGGTCTCTGTGTGTGTGTCTGTATGTGTGTGTGTGAGTGTGTGGGTGTGTCTATGTGTCTGTCTGTGTATGTGTATATGTGTCCATGTGTGTGTCTGTCTGTCTGTCTGTCTCTGTGTGTGTGTGTGTCTGTCTGTCTGTCTGTCTGTGTGAGTCCCCGAACCCCTTTGAATGCCTCCTCTACAAGTACTAGCGTATTCGTGAGTTATGACCTACGAGAGCTCGAGAATTTGTTTTCCTACCCGTTCATCCCTATCTACAGACCCTTGTGTTTGGAGGAAGCGTTGTTAAAATGAGACAAGGTGTCATGGAGAGGTAGCCACGTGGTTAGCTGTCGTAAGGATCCAACTTACGCACTCACTCATTTGACAGGGCCTTGACCTGGACACAAAAAATACATTCCTCACCAAACATTCAAAATGCCTGTCTCACCAAAACGTAATGATACGGTAGCTCATAGGCCTGACTATCTACTCTTGCTTTCCTCAGCTGACAAGATACTCTAGTCTCAGTTCGAATCCAGGATTCATTCTTATGATCATTGGTTTGTCAGCATCATACAACAACCCTGCTCGAAAACTAGTACATTGTAAAGGCAGCGTCATTCCCAAGTGTTCCTGCCATATTCAGCCACTGGCAAACGGTTGCTCTATGGTAATGATGGCACCAACCAATACATAAACCTAGGTGTGTTCCCTGAGGTCATATATGGGTTGGTGCTAAAAAGGGACATTGATGAACTAAAGAACCGATAAATGGACATTGAACACAACTCACTCAGTCATACATGACAGAGCTGATGGCTTGCGTGATGACCCTAAGGATTGGACTCTATTGCCTTTGGCCAACTTCAGGGCGTCATCTAATTGGTTCTTTGTTGAACATGTACCGCCAGGCTGTCAATCAATCATTCTCAGTATCACATATTCCCGAGGTCAAGGGAGTTAACTGACTATAAAAGTCCAGTTTCCACCCTTGCCGAACAAGGCTGGAATTTCCAGGTTCGATCGTAGCGCCACCAGTGGCTATTACGAGTCGTGTCCCTTCTATGTCCCTCCTATTGACCAATAAGATTCCATCGCTTGCATTGTTTCCAACAAAATGGTGGCACCCAGTGAAGATGATCTGATCGATAATCAAGATCTATATTGTAATAAAACGGCTCTTAGCCCGCAAAGTGCATCAAATCACTTGAGCACCTTGATCAAAAACATAAAAAGATTTGCAAAATATCTGTCGACACCCAGTTGACGGTTCACATGGATTTGCAAATCCTGCAGTCGACGGACATCTGCACGCTGAAATACATGTTGTTTACGAACCGGATAGTTAGTTCGTTTCGCGATTTTAATGCACTCTGCATAGGCTCCAGCCAAACTGCAACTCCGGAATTCCTGCCTAGTTAGGCAATGGTGGAAACTGGACTTTTATAGTCAGTTATCTCCCTTGTCTCGAGAAGATGCAGTATCAGGAAAATATCAGAATGAGAAACCACTGTAAATGCAGTAGATGAGCTACAATGCCATTGGAATGTTTTTAATCTAGGCACAGAAATAAGGAAGGATATTTTATAACACAATTGTATAACACAAGAATAGTGTTGGAAATGTATTTGTTAATGCACTATTTATTAATACCACACGAGAGTGACCCGTTACGTTTCGTACTTTGAAATAATCATATTAAACGCCATGGGTAAAGACTGTCTGGAAGAAATATACGCCCGGGCATTTAATCGAGGAAATGCGGTAATCGAGTCTGGGCCAGTCGAACCAGTGGTTGAGAGCATGAGCAACTCCATCACCCGATGATCCCCATTTGTCGGCTGTTACAAGCATGTGGTACAGGGGACATAGCTGGCGGCTGTTACAAGCATGTGGTACTGGGGACATAGCTGGCGGCTGTTACAAGCATGTGGTACTGGGGACATAGCTAGCGGCTGTTACAAGCATGTGGTACTGGGGACATAGCTAGCGGCTGTTACAAGCAAGTGGTACTGGGGACATAGCTGGCGGCTGTTACAAGCATGTGGTACTGGGGACATAGCTGGCGGCTGTTACAAGCATGTGGTACTGGGGACATAGCTGGCGGCTGTTACAAGCAAGTGGTACTGGGGACATAGCTGGCGGCTGTTACAAGCATGTGGTACTGGGGACATAGCTGGCGGCTGTTACAAGCAAGTGGTACTGGGGACATAGCAGGCGGCTGTTACAAGCAAGTGGTACTGGGGACATAGCTGGCGGCTGTTACAAGCATGTGGTACTGGGGACATAGCTGGCGGCTGTTACAAGCAAGTGGTACTGGGGACATAGCTGGCGGCTGTTACAAGCAAGTGGTACTGGGGACATAGCTGGCGGCTGTTACAAGCAAGTGGTACTGGGGACATAGCTGGCGGCTGTTACAAGCATGTGGTACTGGGGACATAGCTGGCGACTGTTACAAGCATGTGGTACTGGGGACATAGCTGGCGGCTGTTACAAGCATGTGGTACTGGGGACATAGCTGGCGGCTGTTACAAGCATGTGGTACTGGGGACATAGCTGGCGGCTGTTACAAGCAAGTGGTACTGGGGACATAGCTGGCGGCTGTTACAAGCATGTGGTACTGGGGACATAGCTGGCGGCTGTTACAAGCATGTGGTACTGGGGACATAGCTGGCGGCTGTTACAAGCATGTGGTACTGGGGACATAGCTGGCGGCTGTTACAAGCAAGTGGTACTGGGGACATAGCTGGAGGCTGAATTTGAATGAGCATCACAGCGCGACGGATTTTGTGTGTCTGGGTGTGTTCGCGTGCGTACATGCATTTACATCAAAAGAATCACTTGGGTAATCAGAAAAGGGACGTTTACGTAAGAAAACAGGAGCAACACATTACAT